CATTCCTGTGCGTCATAGCTCTTTATAAATTTCCAATTTCGCATTGTGTATGCTTGCTTTACAAGTCTGTTTACGTTAACAGATATTTGCATGACGAATTCCATGAAATGATTACAACTTAAATCTTTAATTAAGAGATAAAATTAACACTAAAGACAATATTTGAACACTCTAAGTATAAAATATTACATTATTTTGATTGTTATTGCTTGAACATTTGGATAAAAAAAAAATTTGTAATATTATGAATCACTATTTATTGGATAAACTATCACATGCGTATATTTATGTGTTCATTGAATTAATCATCTTTATGATAATTGTTCAGTATTTGTATATAACTAAACCACAAAAGAAAACACAGCTTAAGTCTGCAAATGTGTGTTATCAAATATTCATCATAGTTTGAATCAGTGTTGAGATATGAGCATAAATGAAAACATATAATATTTTGAAGTCTTTAACTGTAAGTTATAATATTTCATGAAATATTCTGGAAGACTTCTGTATGCAAGAACATGTATATAGTTCGAATAACTTTGTTTTCAGTGGATTAAAATACAATTCATGTGTAGAACAGTGAAAACGGCAGTGCCTGAATGTTGGAAATGAAAGCAAGCCTTCGGTTATTCTCTGTTGATAATTCAATTGCGTTGATACAATAATCACGAATGGCGCAAGTTTAGTTGTAGAAAGAGGAACGATCATTGTGTTGTTATGTAAAGGCTACATTATGCTCTAGCGTCAAAGGGAAACCACGAAGAAAGCTATTGTTTAATTCAGCCCGTCTACGTCGGAAGATTTATTCGACGAATTCGAAATTGTTCCTAGATTAAATCAGTTTCTATTCTCTCGTTTCTATTATTATACTTCATTTTTCTCTCCGTTTATATTATTAAGCGTCTCGGTCATTCTTGAACGAACGTTTTCTAGGAATTCATTTTTTTTAACATTCGCTTTCCGCGAATCTTCTCCGTTTTATGAACGTGCATTTCCAGTTCAATCTTTATTACCCATTCACCGTGTAACAAACACACCACAATCATATTTACATGTAAAGAAATTAATAATCGCATAAAATAGACCACACAAGATGTCATATTTTAGTTTGAAATCATTTTCGTTTGACCATCAGAATAAATGCGTTAATTTGAAATTATTATTAAGAACATTTTAACAGAACGAAATGAAATTGGGCATATAAATGTACGGATTATCTCCATGCCGTGAATAATCTAACATTTTTATTGTCGATTTGGGCATTAAATTTTCGTTTTGTAAAGAAATTAATGCATTTTCATATGAGATTAGTGCGACGCGCGTTGGCGGAAAGCGGAGAGCTTAATTTGCACAATCATTTCGAGCTTTTTTTACCCGAAATTCAATGGTTTTGGTGCACAAATCGATTTCGATGAAGTGTTCCAATTCCATATGTTATTAGCGATCTGCTCAAATGCTCTGTTATAATCCTGTGATGAATGTAAATCCAGTCTTTGCTATGATGGATTTGTATTGTTTAAGCTCATATAGGGATGTTCAATCCGACGTACTGTTTGTACTTGCCAAAATAATTGAAAGGTAATTGTTCTACTTAAACTCGCTTTGTAGTTTTAAAATTTGTGCTCGAAATATTGATAAATACTTGTGAGAATTGAGAATTGTCGTAAGTTACGTTTTTATCGAACGATTTTCAGAATAAACTGAGAATTGAGTTAAACTTCGTTTTGTAGTGATTTTGT